CTCCCCCCTCCCTGCTGCGTCACATCCTCACACCTGATCCCAGCCCTGGTTCCTGGGGGAGGTTCCTGTCACCCAGGCTGCTGGATCGGGGGATGGGAGGAACCGGCCTGGGTGTCGCCCTGGGGCCCAGCTGGCTCAGCATTAGGTGTCACATTGATGCAGTGCCGTGGATTAACAGCTCACTCGGCAGGCCAGGCCAGGAGCAGAGGGCGCTTTGTGAGGAGCTGGGTGGCTGGATCTGCTCCTGGGCCCGGTGTCAGGAGTGGGGCAGGGGTGGCTGGGCTCAGTGCAAAGGTGTGACTGACTTGGGCTGCGGCAGGGTGTAACTATCCATGCATGTTGGGACAACAGCGCCCAATCCTACCCTCTAGGCTCTGGAGGGGCAGCAGGGCTGGCTGCACGCTTGGCAGGCTCCCAGCAGGAGAGGGGGAATTGGGAGTAGTTTGGTTTCCCTGTTGCTGAGGGGAGAGGGGTGCAGCTCATCCCTGCAGGCCTGGGGTCCCCTGTGCAGGGGCTGTTTGCCCGCGGCCCACCCTGCTCTGATGGGACAGGTAAGGCAGCTGGCTGTGGGAGCAGAGTGGCAGATTTGCCAGGGCTGCACGGAGATCCCCTCTGGCCTGCGCTGCTGGAGGGAGCTCAGAGTTCATGGGTGCTGGGAGCCTTTCATCAGCCCAGCTGGGCGTACCCTGTGAGCTCAGGTCACTGGCCTGCCTGTCCCATGCTGCACGCGCATACCTGGCTCTGGAGCCCTGTGGTTCAGGGCCAGGCTGAGACCACGGAGTGCCTGACTGACCAAACTGCCCTTGTCATGATGCTTGTTCTGAGGAAGGGCGGGGAGATGCGAGGTGTGTGGGTCAGAGAGGAAGCCAAGATTCAGGCTTGAGTGGCAGCAAGGCTGGTTGTTGCATTCGCCATGCCAGAGAAGGCAGGGGAGGGTGTCGGGAGAGATCAAGAGCTTTGTTGTGGCTATGTTAAGTTTCAGTGGCAGCTGGACACCCGCGGGAAGACGTTCAAGAGACAGGCTGAGATCTTAGGACAGAGAGAGGGAGACAGGGCTGGAGCAGGCCGTGAATTTGTGAGTCATCAGCTTAAAGATAGGTGTTAAAGCCAAAGCCATGTTTGTGGCTGAGATCACCCAGGGTTTGTCTGCGCAGCCCACGGAAGTGAGCTTGTCAGCCTGGGTCAGGCTTGGGCTAGCCGGACGTGGGCTAGTGCTCTCAAAAGAGCTGTGTAGACAGAGCACTGATGCTACGGCTCAGGCTGGAGCTCAGGCTCTGGAGCCCTGTTTTTAGAGCGCCCGCGTGAGCCCCACAGGGCCAAGTCTCCTGAGCCGGGCTGGGAGGCTTCCTTCTGCATGCTGCGTAGACACACCCCCAGAGACAGTGTAGAGGGAGACGAGGAGGGGGCAAGAATGGAGCCCTGAGGGGACCCACCCCATAAGAGGAGAGTGAAGCAAGACCACCCCCAGCTGAGACACCAAGGGAGGAGGCCAGGCTCCCGGAAGCCCAGGCATTGCAGGGTACAGAGAAGTGAGCGTGGTCAATCGTGTTAAAGGCAGCCAGCCATGGCCTGGAGGGGCTGAGGTTGGAGCACTGGCTGTGAAGTTGGTCTCAGAAGAGGTCATTAGAGGTCTTTGGGGGAGGGGGGGGTGTCAGTGGAGGCCGTGGGGCAGAAGCTAGATTGGAGTGGGGCTGGGATGGAGTTTGAGCAGAGGACTTGAAGCCAGCAGCAGTAGCTCTCACACTCAGTGAGCCTGGAGGTGAGGGGCTGGGCCAAGGATGGTTTTTACGATGCGAGAAAACAAGTCATGGGCCTTTTGTGAAGGGAGGAAAAGAACGAGGCAGACTCCAGGGAGTTGGAGGCGTGTGCATGAGGCAGCTGGGGGTGAGGAAGAACTGGGCGTGTGTCTCCAGACAGTGCCTGGAGCCCAAGGGTTTGCTGGTGTCTGACAAAATCTCATCTCCCAAGTGAGATCAATAGCCTGGAATGTGGAGCTTTTCGAGAGGGGTGCAGGGGGCATAACGGGGTGGGAGTGGGGATTTGATCTTAGCCTGGGCTCAGGAGAGATGCCGGGCAGGGAAATGGGCCCGGCTGGGGGCTGTTTCCTGGGGAAGGGCTGGGCGCTCTGGTGACAGGATGGAGTCCTAGAGAACAGACTGGGCGATCCTGGCCCAGTCGCATGAGGCCTGAAGGGCCTTTTCCAGCTCTGGCTTCTCTGATCCCATTAGCCATTTGAGCAGCTCTCCTTCCAGGTGGGGCTGGGGCCACGGGTAAGGACCAGCAGGGCAGGAAGGAGTGCAGGTTATCAGAAGGGTTCCAATGAGCTCTGGGTGTGTGGGTGGGTGTGCGCACCCTCCCACCCCTGCTGGGGTGTCACACAGCCATGTTGCAGTGTGGAGGGTGCTGGTTTATTTACGGACCTGACAGCCTTCACCTGCCCTTCCCCCTGCATCCCAGCAGGTGAATAATTGCTGGGTGCAGTGTCCCAGGCATGGACTGGGCTGGGCTATACAGTATTTATGAGTCTGGTCTCCCCAAGCCTGACCTTTTCCTGCTCATGGGAGTGGACATGGGGAGGGGAACAGGGCCTGCAACTCACTCTGCAGGTGTCTGGTGGTCCCAGGACCCAGATGCTTCAGAATGGGGCAGAGGGCATGTATCTCCACGCTGTCCGCTTCCCTTGCCAGGGCCCCCCGCTGTTTATCACTGGAGGCCTCTTGCCTGCGCTCCCATGTGACCAGCTTCAGGCTGGGTTGAGACCTGGATCCCATGGCCAGAAGGGACCATGGTGATCATCTATGTAACAGGCCAGAGACCTGCCCCAGAACCATTCCCAGAGCAGATCTTTTAGAAAAACATCCAGTCTTGGTTGAAACGTGGTCAGTGATGGAGAATCCACCATGGCCCTTGGTAAATTGTTCCAGTGGATAATTGTTACTCTCACCATCAAAAATTTACTCCTTATTTCCAGTCTGAATTTGTCTAGCTTCAGCTACCAGCCTTTGGCTCCTGATAGACATTTCTCTGCTAGATTGAAGAGCCTGTTATCGAATGTTTGTTCCCTGTGTAGGTACTTATAGACTGGGATGAAGACATCCCTTAACCTTCTTTTTGTTAGGCTAAATAGACTGAGATCCTTGAGTCAATCAGTCTAAAGCTCTTTTCTAACCCTTTAATCATTCTTGTGGCTCTTCTCTGACCCCTCACCAATTTATCAACATCCTTCTTGAATTGTGGGCACCAGAACTGGACACAGGATTCCAGCAGTGGTCTCATGGCTCCAAAGGCAGAGGTAAAATAATCCTTCATCCCTATTTGAGATTCCCCTCTTTATGCATCCAAGGATCACATTAGCCCTTTTGGTCACAGCCCACGATTGATGTCCGGATAACAGGTCTATAATTTCCTGGGTCGTCCCATTTATCTTTGTAGTAAGAAAAGAGCCTGAAACATATGGTGACGATAACACTCTTTCCATTCCATTTGTATCTCTGGGGGATGTTAGACAGAAGCTACTAAAGTAAGGCATTTTTAAACCAGCAGGACCAGATTACTTTCATTCAAGAGTTTTAAAAGAGCTGGCTGGGGAGCTCACTGAACTGTTAATGTTGATTTTCAATAAGTCTTGGAGCACTGGGGAAGTTACAGCCAATGGGGAAGGATTTCATGCAGGCCCCAGGAGATGTCTCTGGGGTACAGTGTGTGTATATTTGGGGGGTCAATAGTCTATTGACCTGCTGCCTGTAGCTGGGAGCAGTCTGGTCCCCCAAGCTCGGTACAGTGCAGGGGGTTCACTGCTGGGAGAGGGCTGGGCATCTGCCCCATGCAGTGCCTTTAACCCCTGCAGCACTGGGTTCTCTGGCACTCTCAGAGCTGTACAGCACTAGAGGGGACCGATGGGCCCTTTCTGGACCCTCATCCCCCCCAGGGCCAGTGCAAGGAGGTTTCACGCCCTAGGCGAAACTTCCACCTTGTGCCGCCCCCCCCCACGGTAGCTCCCCCCCACACACCCTGAGGCGCCCCCCTGCGGCAGCTCCCCGCTGCCCCCTCCCTCCTCTCAGCCTGGGGAGCCGCGGGCAGCAGCTGCCCGCCCCAGCTCACCTCTGCTCCGCCTCCTCCCCGAGCACGCCGCCGCTTCTCCCGCCTCCCAGGCTTGCGGCACCAATCAGCTGTTTGGCGTGCAAGCCTGGGAGGGAGAGAAGCAGAGCGGGGCGGTGCTCAGGGGAGGAGGCGGAGCAGAGGTGAGCTGGGGCGGGGACCAGTTCTCCTGTGCGCCCCCACCCCCGTTACTTGCTGCAGGCGGCCCTACCCACGCCCCCCTGCCCCAGCTTACCTCCGCTCCACCGCCGCCCCCAACCACTTGGCGCCCTAGGCTACCGCCTCGTTCGCCTAGTGGTTGCACTGGCCCTGATCCCCCCAGGTGTGGGTCCGGTGCAGTACGTGGGGTTGCGGGGCAGGACTGTGATACATGGCGCCGTGGCCGCCAGGGCTCAGCCCTCCCAGAGGGTAGGTGACTCATGCAGAGTGCCAGTGAACGGGGAACCCCCCCTGGAAGGAGGAGCCAGGGGACAGGTGGACATGCGGTGGAGAGGACTGAGATGTCCCAGTGGGGGCACATGCCAGCTCTAGCACAATCATAGAATCATAGAATATCAGGGTTGGAAGGGACCCCTGAAGGTCATCTAGTCCAACCCCCTGCTCGAAGCAGGACCTATTCCCAGTTAAATCATCCCAGCCAGGGCTTTGTCAAGCCTGACCTTACAAGGGTGTAGCTGGGAGCTGGCCTGAGGGGGCTCTTTGGGGATCATTCGGGGGCTGTATCAGGTGAGGGCACATGGGACATGGATCAAGGGGCACGTTGGGGGCCAGATTGGGGAGCACCGAGGGCAGATGAGGCTGGGTGACGGTGCTGGCGAAGGTGGCCCGAGGGCCTATGCAGCCCAGAGCTGGGCAGGAGCTGGCCTCTCAGCCTCTCCCGTTCTCTGTCTCTGCAGGTGGAAAGTAGTGAAACATCCAAAGACACTGCCTCAGTCCCAAAGTGCCACGCCCCCTGTCAGGATGCTGGCTCCACGGAGCAGGTGCCCAATGGAGACCTGGAGACAGATGGTGCCCAGTGGAAAGGCCCGGAGGACAGCGATGGGACCCCGAAGGGCGGGCAGCATGGCGAGGACGAGACGGACAGCCTCCCAGACAGTGAGACGGGCCAGGCCCTGGAGAACGGGCGCTGCACCCCGAAGGACAGCCCGGACCCACCGGCCGATGAGGGTGAGCTGGCCCCTTCCGCCCCCCAGAAGAAGAGAGGCAAGAGGAAACTCTTGGAGACAGCTGGGAAAAGTAAGACCTTAGCGTTTAGGGCTCCCGTCTACAGGGCTGGCAGGATCCAGGAGCGTGGGTAACTAACGTGACCTCTGACCTGCCAGGGGTCCTGCTGTCTCCTGCCTGTGCCCCTGTGGTGCCACCATCCAACTGAGGTGCCCTGTGGGAGGGTCTGCTACAGAGACCAGGGCTGGGAGCAGGCTTGAGAGGTACCGCTGGAGTCCTGGGCACCAGAGGGCTGGCTGGGAGCCCAGGGACACAGTATGGGGGTAGGCGGGTGTCGTGGAGAGAGGGCGATAGAGTAAATACCGAACTTCCTTGGGAATGAGCCAAGCCGCCTCATTCCTGCCAAACGACAGCCCCGGGAAGCTGAGTGGGCTAATGGTTGAGACTAGGAGGGGAGCCCCAGCAACTGGGGAGCAGCAGCCAGTGCCCCCTGACCTGCCCCCCCAAAGAGCTGTGTGTGTTCCCAGCTTCCCACTGACTGCCCCCACCCCATAGGTTCTGTGCTCCCAGCTGCCTCGCTGCTCCTAGAGACACTGACCCAGGAACGGGGGAGACCGAACCATTGGCGGGGTCCCCTCTCCAGCACGGGGAGAGAGTAGGGATGCCCCGGCACACCCACCCTGGAGAGCGGCTGGGGAGGCACCAGTGCCAGACTGCCAGCTGTGGGTTGCCCCCTGCCTGGGGAATGGGCTCTGTATTGCTGGGCTGTGGGAGGGGAAGAACCTGCAGCGGGTCCCTGCGGGGCTGCCGGGGGTAAACACTGGGGGCAGCTAAGGGACATAGCTCTTGTGCGCCCCCTAGGTTTTGTGCTGTACTCAGTCATGTCAGTCACTGCTAATCCGGTTACTGCCCTTGGCCACAGCTCTGAGATCCCAATCACTGTCTGGTGGCCCGCAGGGAATGGGGGAGAGGCAGGCAGCCGTCTTCTCTTGTCCCCTGTTCCCTAAGGCAGGCAAGCACACTCCTGGGTTTTGAGAAGGGCTCCCAGGGCGCTGCACAGAGAGAGAGACCGGCTCCGATGCTTTGCTGGGCCCAGTATCTGGGGGCACAGAAAAGCCAGCTGCAGCACCCTGAGTGTGGGGTCAGTTCTACACCAGCCCCGACCCAGCGTCCTTTGTGTCGCCTAAGAGATTCTAGGAAGTACGCTCTGTGGCCCCATGGGGCCATATGCCAGCAGAAAATCGCCACAGTCCAGTAGCATCTCCCTTCCTGCCCCTGGCCTGCCTTCTACAACGGAGGAGCTGTCTCTGCCAGCTGGGAACTCCACTACGCAGAGGAAATGCCCACTTGGAAAGATCTCGCTGCTTTCTTCCCCCTATGCCCAGCCACAATAGTGCCAAGCGCTGGATAGAGAGCCTGGCCCTCACCAGGAGACAGACAGTCCCATGCACACGTCAGACACACGCACACGCAGTGCCGTTCAGTGAGGCTCATTGGCATGAGCAACTCTACGGGTGCTGCCAGAGTGTAACGGGGACAGAACCCTGGAGCAGAGGCTGCCCTGGGGCTGGACGTTAACCCCTGCAGCCATTCCCTTATTGCTGTCTGGTCCTGACCCCTCCATGCCATCTCCGCCCCCTCTCCCCTCCGGGAACCGGTTTTCCTGCTTGCTTTTCATAGCAGAGCCTTTGCTCATTTCTGGCCACGGGAGGGAGTCTCTTTCTCCCCCTGCCCTGGGTTTGGAGCTCGCCCTGGGCCTGAGCCGTCTGTCACTTATGTTGGTGTAAGTCAGATGTAAGTCCTGGAGGGGGAATTTGGTGCAGACAAGAGAAGACTCAGGCCTTCTGCTGTGCTGGCTGCAGTTCCCTCCTCTTGGGTTGGACGCTGCTTTGCGTCAGTTTCCACCTCCAGATCATGGTCCGTGACTGTGTTTGATGAGCACTGGCCTTAGCTTTGCAGGTTCCACGCGGTGAGGTCTGGGGGCACTTGCAGGGCTGGGGCACTGCAGCTGAGTGCAGGTGTTGGTACGTTCTCTCAGAGCCCGGGCTGGCGTGCTGGGCACCTTTTGGTGGATGGAGTGGATGGTGCCAGCTTTCCTCGGGCGGAACGGGCCCAGTTCTGCTTTGCTGCCCCTGAGGCTTGCTGTGATTGGCTGGTGAAGTGAGGCCCAGATGTGGGTGCCAGGCAGTCGAATGGGTGGGGCTGGACTGTTGGGGGTTGTGTCTAGCCCGTGGTTTCTCTGTGGGAGAGAGGCCCGTAGAGCTTTTTCTTGCAGTGCTCTCAGAGCCCGTCTGCAGTTCCCTGCCGCTCAGGTGTCGGAGTCGGGCTGTGCTCAATCACCGGTCTGCAATAAGGCCCATGTAGCACTGCAGGGTTCTAGGAGGGGCCAGTTCCTATAGAGACCAGCTTGTCACACACACAGGCTTCCTGCCCCATGAGCCAAGAAAGCTCCTGCACTCATTCGGCAAGTTTGTCTGCAGAGGCATCAGTAGTGAGAGGAAGGTCAAGATGTGCCCCCAGTAGCCCACTGCCTACACTCTCCCCGAGCACTAGCCACCGCTCTGCCTTCTGTGGCTTGTGTTCCCCAGGCAGCTCCTAAACCCCTTAGGAGACAGCCAGCTCCCAGTGGTAAGGCCCTTTCCCTCTCTGCCCATGGGGATGTCTTAGCTGCGGGATGGGTCATACTGGGCTTCCCGCTGGGAGAGCGCCCGGCTCCTCTCCTCGTGGGCCCTGCTGGTTGGGCTGGGATGTCTGAGATTGCCCTGGCCTAGCCTGGTGCAGTATGACATGGCTTTATGGCCAAAGGGGTAGGGAGCCAGCAGTGTCGGCAGAGCTGCACTGAGCTGGGCTCCCCGCAGCTGCCCTGTGAGATTGCTGCATTCGTGCTAGTTCTCACTAATCGTTATCCCGGTTATTTATGCTCCCTGGCAGAGCTGGAGCAGGAACTGCCGTGGTAACTCACAGTGCGTTAATTACCAGCCCCGGCCCAGCTAGCCTGGATCCTGCCTCTGGCTGTTCCCAGATCCCCAAGCTAGAAGGGACCACAGCGATCAACTGGCCTGACCTCCGGCGTAGCACCAGCCAGACACCTGCCCCACAGTAGTTACCCAGAGAAGATCCATTAGAAAAACAGCCAGTCGGGATGTAGAATGTCCAGGGATGGAGCATCCCCCATGGCCCTGGGGAAATTGTTTCAGTGGTTAAGGGATGTCAGAGGAGGGTGTTCCCCTTGCTGGGCAGTACTTGCTTTGCAGGGCATGGTGTGGTAGAGGTGCCAGGCCTGTAGTTAGGGCTCCCTTCGCCCAGCTCTGGGTGGGAGTTGTGGCTTTTATGACGTGCCTGCGCAGAGCTCCGTGTGGGGCTGATGGGAGACTAGAAACCTCTTGTCAGACTGCTGCCTGAGCCCTAGCGAATCGTTGCCTTCCCTGGCCTAGTAGGGGGTGCTGTTAACCCAGCCAGGGGCTCCCTGCTCCTGGCACTCATGGCCAGGGATCCTAGAAATCTGTTTGCTGCGGAAAAATGCAGAATTTGCATTTTTACAGCGAATCTTTGGTTTTTACATTTTGTGAAAAAATAAAACCCTAAACAGTGGAACCCTGATTATCCAATCTCATGGGGACCGGGGCCAGATTACATCACCAGAAATTCAGGTAATCAGGAGAGCTTTCTATCCCTTATTTTCAGATGTGGTGGGGCTCAGGCAGACAGCCCTACATGGCTGGGACTGACCACCCCAGCCCCTGCTGCTGTCAGGCTCGGGCAGCTGGGGGTTCAGTTAATATGGAGAACCAGATAGCGGAATACAGACGTTGAAGTATTTGGTGTGTGTAAGAAATACAAATAGCAATGCTATCAATTGTATTTTATTATAATGAGTGATGGCAGTGCTGGTAGGCTTTGAACATTGTGCTCAGCTGACACCTGTGTATATTGCGGCTAGGGAAGCTCACATTCAGCATTTCATTTTCATTGTGGAAAAACGCCAATTTTTGTTGTTTTTATCAGAGAATTTTGGGTTTTATCATGGAAAACGGGGATCCCTGCTCATGGTTCTCCCTGACCTGGAATGCAATAGCAGATGTGGCTCATGGAGAGTCTCACGCAGACCTCAGCCAGAGGGGGCTCCATGGCTTGGGGGGCAGAGTGGAGGACCCCCAGCGGGGGTGTAGAAACCAGGATCCCTCAGGAGTCGGCCCTAGTGCTCTGCAGGGGCAGGAATAGCCAGAATTGCCGTTTCCTCGCCAGCAGCCAGGCCTTGGAATTGGACCAAGGGACGTTTTGGGATCTGTAAATAAGCTCAGTCCTGGGAGATCAGAGAGACAGGCTGCTGCACCCATGGCACAATGCCCCCACACGGCGGGGGATGGGGGGGCAACTGCACCTGAATAATCCTGGTGGGGGCAGCGTGAGGCAGGCTGGGGGCCCGTTGTGTTGGGCACTGCACAGACACATGGGGGCACAGTGCCTGCCCCAGAAGCTTGGGGCTGGGGCAGGGAGCTGGCTACGACATGCAAGTGAAGGAGGTCAGACAGCAGTCGGTGCTCCAGTGACCATGGGGATGGAGGCGGGGAGAGCAGGCCCTGGGCCTGGAGCACAGCTCCGGTCCCTGGGTCCAGGGGTCCAGGGGTGGAGCGGCTAGACGCCTGAGGTGCTAGAGATTTCCATAGCCTCTCCCTCACCAGTGCTTCCCCTGCAGAGGTGGGGAGGGGGCAGCCAAGGCTTTCATGGAGCCACATGTCAGGTTGTAGCCTCGGGAGCCCTCAAACCCTGGTGGTGTGAGCTGCTGTGCTGGGGGGGGGGGTGAAAGTGGGGCAATAGGCAAGGCCCAGCCCCCAGCCTGCCCTCCTTGTGCTGCTGGCTGGTCAGGGGATGCCTTGTGCCTGTTCCTAGCCCATGTCACTGGGCAGACTCCTCCCTGCTCCCCTTCCCTTCCATGGCTTGTTAACCACTCTAGCAGGATCTGCGCCTTAATTAGGCTGGGAGCTGCCTGTGCCGGCCCTGTG